AAAAAAAAAAAAAAAAAAGAGTACAAAAGATCTTCTTGATATCTATATAATTTTTCAAAGAACTGTATGATTGAAAGTTATGAATCCGAGTGTCTACGCGCGTAGACACTTGCAAGTGCAAGGTTCATCGTCCTGAGAGACGAGAAAGATGGAGAAAGGGAACGGGAACACTAACCGTGGGTGCAAACACTGACGTAACACCTCGCGTGATGCATGCAGGCCCGTTCACGCCACTCCCTCGTTACCGGATCGAAGCATCTGACCGTGCTGAAGTGCTGGTTACCGTCGAATCCGCCGATCATGTAGATCAAATTGTTCAACGTGCACAGGCCGTGGTAGGATCTCGGCGTTGCGTCCGTGCTCACTGATAGAAACCATCTGTCAACTCTGGAGTTCACATTACACACGAATCCTGTGTGAGTCTCGGGCCGATTCACGATGATACATACTTCTCGTCGCGCGAATACGAGAGAGAAACAACTATTATAGTTCACGGTACCCGTAAGTAATCAATTATTTTGCATTTGTTGGAATTGCATCGCGCCTAAGAAAAAGGAAAAACTGCCCTTCTGGCCTTGGATCAGACTCCACTGGATTGGATTTTTCACGAGAATGAAAAGACACGAAAGTAGTACGAATATGACTTTCTGGAGGTATAAAGTCCGCCATTTTACAAAACTTTAAATTCTTTGCAATATAACTGACAAGATGCTTCGATGGAAAGTATAAAGAAAAACGTTCCACTCGATGCAGAACTAATGACACGTGAACTCTGTAACAAAAATTGATTACTCATGGGTACAACTGATATATTTCCCTCGAGACGTTCGATTACACTACTACCAGAATATATCGGTCGATATATTCTTTGGCGAACGATATATTGGCAATGAAACTATCCGGACGAATGGACGTACGAATGAACAAACGAACAACTAGCGTTTTTCGCGGGCAAATCTGAGGAAAGTGTGAGAGGTGAGAAGCACAACCTCGTGTCGTAGGTTTCTACGAAATTGGTCGGAGAACCGGCGCTCCATCCGCCGATCGCGAACAGGATCTCATAGGGGATACGAGGCTTGGCCAGAGGATTGTTCAAATCGATCTCGCCGCTGCCGAGCTTCGCCTCCTGCTCTTTCAGATGCTGATTAGCGGCAGCTAGCACTTGTTGGCAGGACTTGAAAGTACGAGAGAATGAATGGAGAATGATAATAAAACGAGTAAGAAGCAAAAATCATTGAGAAAATGAGAATAAGAGAAAATGAGATTCCTTTTGGGATTTGAACGAACGATCGAGTAGGGAGCATTCACCTCGTCCTCCTCGATCATCTTCCACGTGAGGACATTGTTCGTGAAGAAGTTGTAGTTCATCAAACCGTAGCGCACACACTTCAACAGCCCGGGTAAATACGGCCTCTTTTCTTCGACGTTGTGCTCGAGCCAGGTTTTAATGGCCTCGAAAACTATTTCCTCGTTTTTAACGTTCAGCTCGTCGTCGCAGAGAATCGCTTTCAGCTCCTTGCTCGTCAGCTCTTCGAATTCAGGGCTCTCCTGCAGTATCCGCTTAAAGTGATGGCAAATGTATTTCCGGCCCTTCTCTTCCAGGTCGCGGCAGAAATAGTGGCGCGCGAAGTTGAAGATGCCTGCCGGTGTGGAAATTTTTCGGTAAATTGCCGTGAAAATATGCGCGTCCCCGTGTTTAAAAAAAAAAAAAAAAAAAAAGAGAGAGAGAGAAATATTCAACGCGCTTCTGGTTCTCCACGAGTGGTGGAAAGTTCGAACGTGAGATGATTTTACCGGAAAGTTGTTGCATTTTGTCTGGAAATGAATGAAAAAGAAAAAGGAAAAAATTGCCTGCTGACCCAAGCAATTTTCCGGCCGAAGTTCCTGCAGTAGAAACTGACAGCAGAGTTGAACGACTCCGAGCACCTCGAACTGATCGGCCAATGGTAACAGTTGCTCGACGTTGTCGGCGTTCACGTTGCACGTGCCGGTGTAGGCGTAGTCGAGGATCAGGCTGAAGATCTTCCCAGGTACCGATTCGATCGCCACCTCCGTGATCTCCGTTTTCCCGCTTTTCAGACTGTTGGTGAAAAGCGCTTTGAAGTAAGGGCTGACCGCGGACAAAATGGCCCGATGCACCGGGAAAACCTGGCCCGTGGCGCATCTTATCGCACCGTCGCACAGCTGCTGGTTCGCTCTGAAATCAATCCATCGCGTGCTTTCAGAAAACGCGAGATGCAACTACGTTATATAAAATAAAGGAAAAGTCACTAAACCTAACCAAACCGAAATTTTATTATAATTTTATACGTATAGCAGACTTTTCTTTTTTCTTACTCTCTGTACCTTCGAGCTTGTACATATGCTGATACATATTCTGTGCCAAGAGTAGACTACTAACTCGAAAGAAAACAAAATTATACCGAAAACGAGAGATCTCGTTTCGTTTCGACGTTCTTGCAAGCGCGCGAGCGAATTCCGCTCCGCCGTCTGGCGTTTATCTAGCTAATGAAAACATCCTACGACATCCAGCGTACCGGTGATTGAAAGAGCGAAGGGTGCTGGCTGAGAGGGGGAGGATGGACAAACCTGAGCTCGGACCAGACCAGCGGGAATTCAACGAGGGCGTAATTAGATGGCAGACACATGCATTTCCTTATTTTGGCCGGCTGCTTTCTGACGCAGTGCCTCAGCTTGGTTGCGGAGACGGCGGCCCGCGACATCAGGCTGCGTGACAGCTTCTTAAGCTTGATCCTTCCGCGGCCGTCCATCGCCTCGCGGACCAGCCACGCGGTCCCCGCGTCGCTGGCCACCATGTGACCCGACCTTACCACCGCGTACCGCGACACCTTCCTCTTCTTCGTCCACCGCTCTGTATTCGTTATGGTTAGCGATGCGAGCCCCGGCACACCGGAGAGTCGCGGCCATGACAGAGGAACACCGACTTCACCGTTCAACTGATCGAGATCGGTGCCCGCCGCCCCTCCATTCTCGACCACGTTCGCGAGACTCGCGTTTCGTTTCTTTTTTTTTTTTTTCTTTTCTTTTCTTTTCCGCCAATGTAACCGTGTAACGCCACGATTTTTGGACGAATGTGGATTTCCAATTCGAATGTAGATTCTCTGGCCAGAGGGAGAATCTGCAACCCTCGAGCGCTTAATTAACCCCCTCGGCCAGCACACGCAGCCCTGAACGAGGGACGTGTGGCGCACGAATACGAAATAGGGTGTAACGATCGTACG